ATATATAAATTTTTCATAATGATATGACTATTTCTTTTTTGATTGATTTTAGTTTCAGCCAACATTTACCAATCTCAATTGACTCGCAAGCGTTGATTTCCAATAAAAATCAATATATTACATTTTTTTTTGAAATATTATCGAAATAATGATTTCTTAATTACTTATTTAGCAAACATAAATAGCCTCCTTAAAACCTAATTTAGCTTAACTCTTAAGTCATATATATATGATTTATAAGTTTACCAAGAAATCTAGTCATAATAGGTGAACAATTTGATGTTTTGCCTAAATAAACCAAAAAACAAAAGACTTAAGCCACAAGCACCACAAATAATCCATAAAGCAAAAAGACCAACATTTGTTGAACATATTCCCGTTTGATGAAAAAATTAAATTCAACTTACCCACATAACGAGTAGAAAAGTTTGCTAATATGCCTCAAGTAACCAGTAACCGTAAATAATCATAATAATAGTATTTTTTTGCGAGGTAAATATTACTATTATTTATGATGCCATTATTATGTAGTGTATTTTTTGGAGTGAAACAATAAATGAAATACTTTAATCCTAAGGCTGGCTCAGCAAGCAGAGGTGTTAACAAATTTTTTGAGCTGGAAATTTAGAGTAATGATAATTTAAAACCTTTAAGGCTATAATCAATGTGCCAAGAGGGCTGGGACATGCGCAGGCATTATTTAAGCAACATTGTTTACAAAATTCTATGTTTCGACTACCGCCCATTTCATTCATACATCATACATACATACATACATACCTACATCATACATCCCATCCAGTCAATTATGACACATATGGACTACACCATGGAGTTAAAGGGAGCAAATGCTTCTGGGCTGTATTTAATAAGACATTACAAATACTATATCAGATTATGAATAATGTTTTATAGCATCTCACGTATAAGAGGCACGAGATTTTTTGTCATGTTTATTACAATTTTATATTGAAATTATAATAAATTCACATGTTGAACAATTCCAAAATATTAACATTTAAATTAGCAATAAAAACTATGAGCTGAACGATGAACTGAATAATTAAAAACAATATTTTTAGGCGGCAGCATACATAGATAGGAATATGCTAATTATAATTTAATTAAAACACAAATTAATTAAATAAGTAAACAAAATTTAAAATTACTTAACTATTCGTAATATTGATTGTCGAATGTATAACATTTCGACCCAATAAAATTCAATAACAACCCCCCAACATGGAGTTGACATTCAAAATAACTATAATCGAAAAAATATTTTTTATACCCTACACAACTATGTTGTCAGGGTATTATAGCTTTGTGCAGCCCCAAATGTTTGTAACGCCGCGAAATATTGGTCCTAGACCCACCTTTAAGTATACCGATCGTCATATCTCGACTAGCTGAATCGATCTAGACATGTGTGTCCGTCCGTCCGTCCGTATGTCCATTATAATTTGTAAACACGATACAGGTCACAGTTATGTACCAATCTTCACGAAATTTTGCATGTATGATGGGTTCTGGCCAATGAAGACCCCTATTGTTTTTGGGAAAGATCGGTTAATATTTAGGGGATGAAATGGACCAAAAACATTATTTTTGTCGGTTTTTCTGGTCGCTCCAGAGGCCGCAATTATGGCCCAAACATTGCGAATTTTTACATGGAGAAGGGGATCGGGCCAGAGAATAAGCATGCATGTTTTGATAAAGATCGGTCAATATTTAGCGGGTCAAATGAACCCTGACTTTTGTGTGAAAAATGACAAAATTTGTATTCTATGGCATATATATTTACTCCTGGAGGATGTAGACCCGAGGAGTTGATAGCATATTCAAGAGGAGTGGTTGGCCTTTAAATTGATACCAAATATAGTGATGTATCTACTCAGATGTGGGAGTTACAGTCAAATATTTACAGGTGCTTACGTATTCAAATATTATTTAGTAACCCATTACCACATTAGAGGGGGAAATATCGCGCTGATGGCTTTGAAATTTTTCATGAAGTTCCAGTTATGGTCAAGAACAACGCCTACAATTTTCGGTGATGATCAGATTAAAATTTTGGGATGAAATGGACCGAAAACTTAATTTTTTGTGTGTTTTCGAGTCGAGTATAATCCGAAAATCACAGCACAACCCACCGTGAAGGTAATCTGGACAAGTAATTAGAAGGACTGTACTGAATATTCGAAAAAAGTAAGGAAGAGGTGTTGTTGACCTCTAATCGGACAAGAGGGGGCAAATATCACGAAATATTACTCAGACTCGGAATAAACATCCTCAGAAAGTTAGAGTTCGTGGTAGTTGTGTAGGGTATCGTATGGTCGGCCCCGTCCGACTATACTGCTCCGCTCACTGGTTTTTAAATAACTATGCCTTTCTTTGGCAGTCTTTGAAAAAATATATTTTAAAAATTCATGGTTTTGGTAGTCTTTGAAAAAATATTTTTTTAAAAGCAGTCTTTGAAAAAATATTTTTTTAAAAGCCATGGCTTTGGCAGTCTTTGAAAAAATATATTTTTAAAATATCGCCTTTGTTGGTCTACGAAAATATTTTTTTAAAAAATCCACAATATTACTTACTTACTTAGCTGGCTTGTTACAGAACGGTTGTTTCATAAGCCGAGCTTAAAAAAAAAAATTTCCAAGTGCGTCGGTCTTGTGCGCAAGCCCCCAAATTAGGAATACCACGTTCCAAGATGTTGTTTTCTACTTGGTTTTCCATCTAATTCGTGGCCTTTACCTTCTACGGGAACCATCAGTAGGCTCATTTTTATATGCCTTTTGAGCTGGGACATTTTCATTCATCCGCACAACATGGCCTAGCCACTGTAGTCGCTGCAGCTCAAAACGACTGACTATGTCGATGTCCGCGTATAAATTGTAAAGCTCGTGGTTCATTCGTCCCCGATATTCACCGTCGAAGCAGATCGGCGTAGATCTTTCGGAGAAGTTTTCTCTCAAACACGCCAAAAGCTGCCTCATCTGCTTGCGCAAGTACCCATGCTACCCGTGCGTCTTGTAAAGTTGATTCTGGTCTGGCGGAAGGTGGTCTTGTTTCTAAACTGCTTACTGAGACCATAGTAGCATCTGTTGGCCATCACAATCCTTCTCCGAATTTCAAAACTGATGTCATTCGTTTTATTTATGGCGGTTCCAAGGTATATAAAATCTTTGAATACCTCGAAGCTGTAGTTCTCAAGTTCCACAGTTGGTCCGAGTCTACTGGACGTCTTGCGTGTTGATACCATCAGCTTGGTCTTCTCGCCGTTTACTGCCAGACCCACTTTGGCAGACTCCTTATCAATTTGTTCAAAGGTGGCTGTTACCGCTCGCAATGTTCGACCCATTATATCGATGTCATCGGCGTAGGCGAGTAAGTGGTGTTGTTTGGTGTACAGAGTGCCATTTCTGTTCACCTTTGCGTCTCGTATGACCTTTTCCAGTAGAATGTTAAAAAGATCACATGACAAACTGTCACCTTGTCTGAATCCTCGTTCGGTATTGAAGGGCTCCGATAGGTCCTTTCCTACTTTAACTGTTGACCTTATGCCACTTAAAGTTATCCTGCATAGCCGTATTAATTTTGCAGGAATGCCGAACGCAGACATGGCTTTAAACACCTCTGAACGGATAGGACTGTCGAATGCGGCTTTATAGTCGACAAATATGTGGTATGTGTCGATGTGGTTTTCGTGGGTCTTTTCCAGGATTTGGCGCAGAGTGAAAATCTGGTCAATGGTGGATTTGTCAGGTCTGAAGCCGCATTAGTATGGTCCGATGATGTCAATGACCATTGGATTCAATCGTTCGCACAGCACACTGCATAGCACTTTATATGAGATGGAAAGGAGACTTATTCCTCTATAGTTGGCACATATAGTCTTGTCTCCTTTTTTGTGCACGGGACACATCGGGCATGCATTCATCTAGCCAAATTGTGCTAATCAGCTGGTGCCTGCTCCTGACAAGCATCCACAATATTGGTCATTGAAAAAATATTTTTTTAAAGGCCACGCCTCTGTCAGGCCTTGAAAAATTATGTTTTTAAAGTCCACGCCTCTGTCAGGCCTTGAAAAATTATGTTTTTAAAGTCCACGCCTCTGTCAGGCCTTGAAAAATTATGTTTTTAAAGTCCACGCCTCTGTCAGGCCTTGAAAAAATATGTTTTTAAAGTCCACGCCTCTGTCAGGCCTTGAAAAAAAATTTTTTTTAAAGTCCACGCCTCTGCCAGGCCTTGAAAAAATATTTCTTTAAAGTCCACGTCTCTGTCAGGCCTTGAAAAATTTTTTTTTAATTAATCCACGCCTTTGGTAGGCCTTTAAAAAGTATTCTTTAAATAATCCACGCCTTTGGTAGACATTTAAAAAAATTCTTTAAATAATCTACGCCTTTGGTAGGCATTTAAAAAGTATTCTTTAAATAATCCACGCCTTTGGTCTTTAAAAAAATTGATGCCTCTGTTAGGTCTTGAAAAATATTCTTAAAAAATACACGCCTCTGTTAGGTCTTGAAAAATATTCTTTAAAAAATCCACGCCTCTGTTAGGTCTTGAAAAATATTCTTTAAAAAATCCACGCCTCTGTTAGGTCTTGAAAAATATTCTTTAAAAAATACACGCCTTTGTTGGCCATCGAAAAAATATTGATTAAAAACTCCACGCCTCTGAAAGTGTTTGAAATATATTCTTGAAAAATCCACTAATCTTTTGTTCTACAAAAAATGTTCCTTAAAAAATCCACGAGCTTGACAATTTTTTCTTATTGTTTTTTATTTTTTATTTTTTTAAATCCGCATTTCTGAAATATCTTTAAAAAATCAAAATACTTATTTTTGTTGCTTTTTTTCTACAATTCCAGGTGTTTATGTTCGCCAGCCTCCCTGCTACGCATCCCCGAAGATCTCGAAGATAATGCACTAAAAGCTTTACAATTGGAAAGGGCGCGTTCCCTAACCACTTGCAATGGTGAAGATGATAATGCGGTTAAGGGTTTTGATGTTTGCCCACCAAGCAAATATCGTTTGCCCACCGGTGAATGTAATAACGTGTCACATCGTAAATGGGGTGCACGTGGTGATATTTTCATGCGCCTTTTGGCCGCTGATTATGCTGATGGTGTTAGTCGTCCACGTACCTCCCATGGTAGACACGCCTTGCCTGAAGCTGAATTTGTCATTGAACAATTGCAAAAACATATCGATGGTGAATTGAGACATCCACATATCACTGCCATGTTACCAGCCTGGGGTCAATTGTTGGCCAATGATTTGTACGAAGTTAGTCAATTGCCTATTGATGGTAAATGTTGTCACTCGGGTTTGGAACGTAATCCTCATGAAATTGAACAATGTTATGTAAGATCTGGTGAAGATTGTAAGGAATATAGACGTTCGGCGCCTGGTTATGATGCTGAGACATGTAATAGACGTAAGTTTCTGAGAAAATGAATTTCCAGGGGTTCGAATATTTATTAAATTTTTATTTTCCCAGATCAACGTGAACAAATGAACGTGGCCTCGGCCTATATTGATGCCAGCGGCCTTTATGGTTCCACCATGCAGGAGTTCCATGATATCCGTACCTTCATCAGCGGTGGTGTTAAAGTTGAATCTTGCAAATATTGCCGTGTCCCCGGTGCCACTGGTGCTTTGCATCGTGCCTTGTTACAAGAACACAATAAAATCGCCGAAGAATTGGCCCATTTGAATACCGATTGGTCTGAGGAAGATGTCTTCTTAGAAGCCAGACGTATTATTATTGCTCAAATCCAACATATTACCTATAATGAATTTTTGCCCTTGGTTTTGGGTCAGGAAACTACAGCTAAGGAAGGTTTGAGGTAAGTGAAATGAATTCGGAAAATATTTAATAAAAACCACTAGTAGACCCCGAAAAAAAATTCTTTATAAAATCCACAACTCGGATAACCTTTGGAAAAAATATTCTTTAAAAAATCCATGCCTCTGATAACCACTGAAGAAATATTCTTTGAAAAATCCACGCACCTGATAATTAAAATAATATTCTTTAAAAAATCCACGCCTTCTCTAGGCCTTGAAAAGATATTCTTTAAAAAATCCGCGCCTTGTCTAGGCCTTGAAAAGATATTCTTTAAAAAATCCGCGCCTTGTTTAGGCCTTGAAAAGATATTCTTTAAAAAATCCGCGCCTTGTCTAGGCCTTGAAAAGATATTCTTTAAAAAATCCGCGCCTTGTTTAGGCCTTGAAAAGATATTCTTTAAAATATCCGCGCCTTGTTTAGGCCTTGAAAAGATATTCTTTAAAAAATCCATGCTTTGTCTAGGCCTTGAAAAGATATTCTTTAAAAATCCACGCCTTGTCTAGGCCTTGAAAAGATATTCTTTAAAAAATCCGCGCCTTGTTTAGGCCCTGAAAAGATATTCTTTAAAAAATCCACGCTTTGTCTAGGCCTTGAAAAGATATTCTTTAAAAAATTCGCGCCTTGTTTAGGCCTTGAAAAGATATTCTTTAAAAAATCCGCGCCTTGTTTAGGCCTTGAAAAGATATTCTTTAAAAAATCCGCGCCTTGTTTAGGCCTTGAAAAGATATTCTTTAAAAAATCCACGCCTTGTCTAGGCCTTGAAAAGATATTCTTTAAAAAATCCGCGCCTTGTTTAGGCCTTGAAAAGATATTCTTTAAAAAATCCGCGCCTTGTCTAGGCCTTGAAAAGATATTCTTTAAAAAATCCGCGCCTTGTTTAGGCCTTGAAAAGATATTCTTTAAAATATCCGCGCCTTGTTTAGGCCTTGAAAAGATATTCTTTAAAAAATCCATGCTTTGTCTAGGCCTTGAAAAGATATTCTTTAAAAATCCACGCCTTGTCTAGGCCTTGAAAAGATATTCTTTAAAAAATCCGCGCCTTGTTTAGGCCCTGAAAAGATATTCTTTAAAAAATCCACGCTTTGTCTAGGCCTTGAAAAGATATTCTTTAAAAAATTCGCGCCTTGTTTAGGCCTTGAAAAGATATTCTTTAAAAAATCCGCGCCTTGTTTAGGCCTTGAAAAGATATTCTTTAAAAAATCCGCGCCTTGTTTAGGCCTTGAAAAGATATTCTTTAAAAAATCCACGCCTTGTCTAGGCCTTGAAAAGATATTCTTTAAAAAATCCGCGCCTTGTTTAGGCCTTGAAAAGATATTCTTTAAAAAATTCGCGCCTTGTTTAGGCCTTGAAAAGATATTCTTTAAAAAATCCGCGCTTTGTCTAGGCCTTGAAAAGATATTCTTTAAAAAATCCACGCTTCAGTTAAGCCATGAAAAAATATCCTTTGAAAAATCTACACCTCAGTTAGGCTATGAAGAAATATTGTTTAAAAAATCCACGCCTAATTTTAGGCCATGAACAAATATTCTTTAAAAAAGCCACGCCTCTGTAGGTCCTTTCAAAAAATTATTCTTTAAAAAATGCAAGCCTATGTTAGCCTACAAAAAATTTAGCTTCTGAAAAAACTTTGGCATCCTGACATTAATTTTTCGTATTTTCCTCTCTTCCTCCCAGACTTGCTGCCGAAAAACACTCCACCAACTATTCCAGCACCAACCGTGGAGGTATTTACAATGAATTTGCCACCAGCGCCATGCCTGCTTTCCTCACCATGTACCCACCAGAAATGGTAAGAATTTATTTGATCCTGTTTTTCCTATAGCATCCATAACCTCATTGTTTTTCTTGGTTCTACTCCTTAGCTCTCCAACACCATGTCCGCCACTCAATTACTTTCCGTACAGGCCCTACAAAAATCTCTCCTGCCCTCAACAGTCAACCAAGAAGGTTGGAGTGAATTGGCCTTGGCTCTGCATCGTGCCCGTGATCATGGTATTCCACCCTATGTCCAAGCCCTGGATTTGTGTGAAAAACGCTTCGATGATAATGCCAACATCACCTTCGAAAATCTTTCGAAATATTCAACCATTCCCGAGGAATATATTACCAATTTGAGGGATATCTATCAAACGGCTAATGATATTGATTTACTCACCGGTGCTTTGTTGGAAGATCCTGCTGTGGGTTCATTGTTTGGTCCCACCATTACCTGTCTGCTCTCCTTGCAATTTGAACATTTGAAAAAGACCGATCGTTTCTGGTATGAAAATGATATTCCACCATCCTCATTCACCCTGGAACAGTTGAAGGCTATTCGTCAGACCACTTTGTCTGGATTGTTGTGTGCCTCAAATCAGGTGTCAGAGGCCCAGTCGAAGGCTTTTATTGCCCAGGATAATTTCTTGTAAGTTGGGGAGGAATTTCACATGAATTTCGAGAATTTTTGGAACTCATTTTCTTTTTTGTTGTTTTGTGCAGGAACACCCTTTTGAGCTGTGATCAAATTGCCAAATTCGATTTACGCCCATGGCAATCGAATGCCGATGAAGTCGAATCCATTGAACATGTTGAGGTGGAACCCGAGGTTAAGGAGGTTATTAGTGAATTGAGCCCTGATCTCTTGGAAGCTGCCGTGGAAAGGGCCAAAATCGAATTGGAAGAACGTAAACGTTTCGAATATGAATCCTGGTTGGCACGTAAGTTGGAATGGTGGAACAAATAAGACAAGTTCCGATTTTAATGTTTTCTCTTATTTTCCAGAGGGTGGCATTAGTGCCAAGAGCCCTGATGGTGTTGCCGCCTCCTTCAGCAAAGCCAATCGCCAAGCCTTATTGTTGGCCAACTCCTCTCTGATCTATGAATTGGCTTCGAATGAAATTGTCAACACCTTGAATTCCATTAATCGTCGTAAACGTCAGATCTTCGATTCCAGCTTGAGCAATTTCAATCGCAATGACCTCACTGAGACTTTGTCCACCATTGATATTACCAGCTTTTTGCCCACCACCCATCAGGCCACCAAGGAATGTGATGATCCCGCCGTTGCCTGTGACACCACCTCACCATTCCGTAGCATGACCGGTTATTGTAACAATTTGCGTAACCCTAGCTGGGGTAAAGCTTTGACCACCTTCTCCCGTCTGCTGCCTGCCCAGTATGATGATGGTGTTTCCAAACCAAGATTGCTTGCTGTTACTGGTGCTCCATTGCCCAATCCTCGTACTGTGTCAACAGTTATCCATCCTGACATTTCCAATTTGCACACCCGCTATTCGCTCATGACTATGCAGTTCGCCCAATTCATCGATCACGATTTGACCATGACACCCATTCACAAAGGTTTCCACGAATCCATTCCCAGCTGCCGCAGATGCAACTCCCCTCAGACAGTGCATCCTGAATGTAATCCTTTCCCAGTACCACCCGGTGATTACTACTATCCCGAAGTGAATGTCACGAGTGGCGAACGTCTGTGCTTCCCCTCGATGAGATCTTTGCCCGGCCAATTGACTTTGGGTCCTCGTGATCAAATCAATCAAAATACCCATTTCTTGGATGCCTCTATGATCTATGGTGAAAATCCCTGTGTGGCCAATCGCTTGCGTGGTTTCTCCGGTCGTCTGAACTCCACCATCCATCCCATCCGTGGCAAGGAATTGTTGCCTCAAACTAATGTCCATCCTGAATGTAAATCTCGCAATCGTTTGTGCTTCGATGCCGGTGATGATCGTGCCTCCGAACAGCCAGGTTTGACTGCCATCCACACGATATTCTTGCGTGAACACAATCGCATCGTAGAAGGTTTGCGTGGTGTCAATCCTCACTGGAATGGTGATCAGTTGTTCCAACATGCCCGTCGTATTGTCAGTGCCCAGGTGCAGCATATTACCTTCAATGAATTCTTGCCACGTATCTTGAGTTGGAATGCCGTCAATTTGTACGGTTTGAAATTGTTGCCCCAAGGATACTACAAGGACTACAATCCATCATGCTCCCCAATTATTTTCAATGAATTTGCTGCTGCTGCCTTCCGTATTGGTCACTCTCTACTCAGACCTCACATTCCTCGTTTGAGTCCTCAACATCAACCCGTTGATCCACCAATTCTATTGCGTGATGGCTTCTTCAAAATGGATGCTCTTTTACAGGTAATTGATATTGGGATTTACTTTTCCCCCTTTCCATATTTCAGAGAAATTAATTTTGGTAATTTTCCCTCTCTCTCCCTCACTCTCTCTTCTAACAAAAGCCTGGTATTATTGATGAAATTATGCGTGGTTTGGTTGCCACTCCCATGGAAACTTTGGATCAATTTATTACCGGTGAGGTTACCAATCATTTGTTCGAGGATCGCAAGATTCCCTTCTCTGGTGTCGATTTGATTGCCTTGAATATTCAAAGAGGTAAGGATTTCAAAGAATAATTTTAATTTTGGAATTTACAACACAAAATAATAAAATTTTTTATAATTTGTTCAGGTCGCGACCACGGTCTACCATCGTACAACAACTATCGTGCTTTGTGTAATCTGAAACGTGCCACCACCTGGAATGATCTGAGCCGTGAAATCCCCGCTGAAGTTATTGCCCGTTTCAAGAAAATCTATCCCACTGTCGATGATATTGATCTATTCCCTGGTGCCATGACTGAGAGACCATTGCAGGGAGGTTTGGTTGGCCCCACCTTGGCCTGTATTATTGGTATTCAATTCAGACAGTTGAGAAAGTGTGATCGTTTCTGGTAGGTTGAATTTTTGAAAGATTGGAAATGCGAGTTGCATTAATTTTATATTTTTTGTTATTTAGGTACGAAAATCAAAACCCTGAAGTCAAATTCACCGAAGCCCAATTGGCTGAAATCCGCAAGACCACTTTGGCCAAGATCACTTGTGAAAATTTGGAAATTCCCGGTGATATGCAACGTGCTGCCTTCGATTTGCCCAGCAATTTCTTGTAAGTATTTTAAATGTAAAGGGATAGAAAATACGAACTATTTTTACCCGGGTCCAATTTTTTTCGTTTCAAAAGCATTGTTTCCTACATTTAGAATGAGTTCAAAACGTTATAGATTTCCTTGTGTATAGTTTTCCGTATCTCTAATTTTTTTATTTCGTTAAATGAAGCATGCATTTTTCTCATCCATAGACATACAATTTACTTGACGTATGCAGTCCAATTATCGCCACAGTATTCCTTCTTTAATGTTCATTTGATTGCACTATTTATATCAGGACCAGGTAGCGTGTAAACAAGGATCACTAGAAATATCCTTTCACGTGTATCTGTCAATTGTTCCACACTTTAATTTCTTAAACTGCCTTTTCGATTATTAACTTCTACCAAATCTTCGAACCAAAGAAATTGTCTGTTATGTCTGTCGGTTGACCATGTAGGTCCATAATTATTGCTCTTGAAGTTTTCGATATTACAATTCCGGTCCTCTTTCCATCTCAGCGAACTTCTGAACGGTGATGATTTTCACACTTTTCTTATAAGCACTTTAAGAATGTCTGAGGGTGATTTGGTCGCCATAAAGTATAACACTAACAACGGTGATTGGGTTATCTATTCATCCAACTGTTTTGCCTTTGAATACCTGAAACATCTAAAGAGTTTACCGAAGTTGCCTAAGGACCATTGGAATGAGGGTTCATTTTTCATTAAACGTTACTTCTGAGGTTCATAAAAACCCATGAATCCGCAATTCAAGCGATTATATGGGTCTCTTCTCTGTAGGTTGCTGATCATATGGGGACCGCAGTCTCTTCACAGCTACTTAAAGCCGCCGCTGAAGTCCTATTGTTGCTCAAATGGGAGTTGCGCCGTGTCAGCCTTTCTAAATGTCTTTTTACGGACACACCTTCAAGCCGAATTCGACACTCTCTTGCTCTCTTTCGCAGTGGCAGATGGTGTCAAGACATCTTAACGTCTCGAGGGGTTCCCACTCGATTAATCAAAAATCGCTAAAACAAATTTCCCAATCGTGAACGGGCTGATCAAAGTTGTGTCATCCGTTGGGGGGTTAACTAGAGACAACTTCACATGCGACGTCGCAATTTGCGCCGAAGTTTTGAACATGCTGTCGAATGTGCCCCCGAGAATTTTGGTATTTTTGGTAGTCGAAATTTTATGCCCCTCGACCTGCACATTCAATGGCATTCTCATCAATGCAGTACATGCGGTGAACAGAGGAAGGATTTTCGTCTACCCATGAAGATGGTCCTCTGGTGTCATGAGGAGGCAGTTCTCTCTCGCGGTGTTCTGACAGGTCTGAATACTTCACCAGTGATCGCAGACCATACTGGTACCACATATCCGGCCACAGACCAACCTATCGCTTTGTAAGAGTTCATCAATGTTTCCTTATCTGCATCCGGATGCCGCAAGCGACTTGTGGGCCTTGTTCCTACTTTTCAACTTATCGCAGATAGCTGTGGTTTGCGCCGACGTTTTGAACATGCTGTCGAATGTGCCCCCGAGAACATTGGTATTGTTGGTAGTCGGAATTGTATGGCCCTCGACTTGCACATGACATTCTCATCTATGCAGTACATGCGGTAAACAATGTGGTCGAAGATTTCATGGCGGATATGTTCATCCACTACGCTTGTAGGCGCCGAAACTGAGGACTATGGCATTTATCTGTATTTATACCCTTCACCACACTGTGGTACAGGGTATTATGTCTTTGTGCATATGTTTGTAACAGGCAAAAGGAAACGAGATAGACACGAGAATATGCATAGAATCACTTTCTGAGTCGATTTATGCATGTCCGTCCGTCTGTCCGTCCGTCTGTAGATGTTAAATTGTAAACAAAGTACAGGTCGCATTTATAATCCGATTTAGATGAAATTTGGCACAAGTCACTTATTTGGCCCAAGGACGAACCCTATTAAAATTGGGAAAAATCGGTTCAGATTTAGATATAGCTTTCATATATATTTTCGTCCGATTTAAGGTAAATGGGTAACCAAAGTCCCAATATATCTTTCGATTTGCATGAAATTTGGCACAGAGTACTGAATTAGGTCCAGAATGATGTGTGCCAAGTTTCGAGAAAATCGGTTCAGATTTATATATAGCTCCCATATATATTTTCGTCCAATTTAAGGTAAATGGGGCACCAAAGTCCAGAATGATGTGTGCCAAGTTTCGAGAAAATCGGTTCAGATTTAGATATAGCCCCAGTAGAATATTTTCGTCCGATTTAAGGTAAATGGGTCTCCAAAGTTCCTATATATCTTTCGATTTCCACGAAATTTGGCATAGGGCACTGAATTGGGTCCAGAATGATGTGTGCTAAGTTTCGTGAAAATCAGTTCAGATTTAGATATAGCTCATATATATATTTTCGTCCGATTTAATGTAAATTGTGCACTAAAGAACAAAAGATTGGCCGACCCGCACACAATTTTGTATAATGTACTGAAGTTACTATAACCTTGTGTGTGTCAAGTTTTCTTGAAATTGGTTCAGATTTACATACAGCTCCTATATATATACTTTCGTCAGATTTTAAGTAAATGGTGTACTAAAGACCCATAATAGCCCGATTGGCAAAACGTACTGAAATTAGAATAAGTTAATATCTGCAAGTTTCCTTGAAATCGGTTCAGATTTAGATATAGCATAGCTTCCATATATAATTTCGACCCATTCATGTTGATTGTAAACCAAATAATCAATGGGTGCCTGATTGATATTACAGTTTAAACAGTGAAGCATACCAAATAGCGTGTGTAAAGTTTGCTTTAAATCTATTTACAAAATTTAGAATAGGTTGCAGAATGGCATATGTTAAAATTGATATTAGTCGGTTTACTTATAGATAAAGATCGCATATTTAAGTTCGTTCATTTTCATGTCAATGTTCCTTCGAAAAAGCGAGATCTGTTAGGAGACATATGTAGTATATACCCAATGTGGTGACAGGTATCATATAGTCGGCCCAGTCCGACTTTACTGCTTTCCTTACTGGTTTTAGAAGAGGTTTTTTGAGTGATGCTTTGTGATCGACCATGGCATAGTCTCGTTCCATGATAAGAGCTTGGCAACTACGACTGAATAACTTGTTGTGGCGGAAGAAGGTAATTAAAGTCACCATAGAGACTCTCCCCCAAAATTCACCCAAGAATAACCGCAAGTTGTGGACGCGTTAGGTAACATTCTGATCTACTCCCCTTGGCGGAAATCCATTGCTGAATTAGTATCGTGAGAAGTCTTTTCATTATTATTTATTAAGTGAGACATCGTTCCTTAATCTTCTATATTAGGGACGCTATTTTCCATCATGGTCCATATTTTATCTAACTAGGTCCAGTACTTTCGTTCATTTACCTCCATTTGGTCTCGTTCACCTAGTTCACTCTCATCCAATCGTAGTTCAAACAGAGATATTAAAAGAGTGTCAGCTTTTGAAACAATGTTTTTAAAATGTCTTAGGCGTAATTCTCTCGTAAAATTGTATCTTTATTACGAGCCGTCTGAAAACGAACGGGAGGGAGTTCACGAACAAAGTAGTTCAATTGAAAGATTCATTTAAAGGGCCTATGAATTAATTTAATCGTAAGGGGCCAATTTACCAACAGAAGAGATCCCTTAATATTCAACGTTTAATTCTTCACAGAAGACTTTGATAGGCAGTCGTATTTACTATTAATAATCCTTTTTCTCATATTATTTTTCTATTTCTATTTCCAGGAACCCACGTGTCCCCTGTCATTCAATGCCACAAATCGATTTGAGTGCTTGGCGTGAAAATGTACAAGGTTGTCAGATTGGTAATCGTCATGTGAGAGTTGGTGAATCCGCTTTCCCCTCGCCATGTACCAGCTGTGTCTGCTCAACTGAAGGAGTAAGTTGATTTATTGAGTTTCCTTTAACGCAATGTGTACTAATTTAAATTTCTCTTTCTCCCTCTTCACCAGGCCCAATGCGCATCACTACGTATTACCGACTGTGGTCAATTGATACGACAATGGCCCAAGGAAGCTATTCTACGCGATGAAGTCTGCAACTCACAGTGTGGCATCTATTTGACCGGACAAAATGGTGGCAACTTTAATGCCCAGGCAAGACAGGGTGCCTCAGTGCCGCCATCACGTGTTCAACGTTCCAGACCACAAAACCTCTTTAAGTTCCCCGATTTAACACCATTCATAGCATCATTGTAAATTAAGGAAACTATTTTTTAATACATATAACCTAAAGTAAATGTAATTTTTATTGTTATTCCTTAAAGACAAGTCTTTAAAACCAACATCAACAACAAAATCCAATAAGTCCGCCATTAGTTTTTTTTGAAAAAGAAAGAGCGAAAGAACTTGATCTAGTTTTGCAAGCCGAAACAAATTTTGAGAGGCTTTAAAAAACGTTCTTATATACAACATTTATGTTTTTCCTTTAGAAAACTAAATAATTTTTATTTTGTTATACTTAAAACGAACGATATCTTTATATAACTAATGTAAATAATTTAATAAAAAAACTTTTAAAAATAATAATATTGTTAGAAAAACAGAAAATATGCATGTAAATATTGTTTTTTGCCAAAAAAAGAAATACATTTTTTGGCAATAAAACAAAAAAATACTTGAAGGGATTTCGAAACTCTATTCCCTATTAAAAAATAATTTACCTAATTGTTATAAAACATCAAAGACTTATTATATATGAATGCACTTTTTTTATAAATGAATTTGTTTTCTTCTTATATAAAATCCCAAACAATTATAATTTTTTT